GCGCCTCGGAAATTCGCAGCGTCGAGTCATGGAGCTTCCAGGCGATTCCATGGAAATTCGCCAGGGAAACCGCCCCTTTTCACAGCAAACCATTTGTCTTCCTGGGAAATGGCCGCCTTTTACCAGCACGCCATTTAATTATTCCCAGGACCCTGTGAGGTTCCACGTTTGTTGGAGGGTATTTGTTTGACCCTCCCCCAGACTAACATGGAAGCTCCCGAATGGACACCGAAGCTTCCGGCTGTTAGTCCGAGGGAGTGTATCCAGAGCGGGTTGCTTCAGATGTGCTTTTTCAGGGAATTGACCTCGCAGAAAAAAGCAACATCTTTCTATGCAGTGATCAAATGTCTGTGGGGGATATCAACCAGTGGGTCAAGAAAAAAACAACAAAATCGTTTAAAACGTGTTTTTGTTATGTAAGGTCCCGCCATGTATCTAATTTGTTGTGCAGGCTCGAAACACTGTAAAGAGAGACATGGGAACAACAAATTAAAACGATGCCCGAAAACGATACGCGGAAAAGCCATGAAGACACAGTTGGTCCAATATTACTCTGGGTCCTTGTGAGCCCTGCGTCACCAAGTATTGCAATCCCAGGCCCCAGAGTGGGAAACTCACAGGCTCCGAAACGATACTCAAAACGATACTCAGCTGATACCTGAACGATACTCACGCGTGCAAAATCTAAACCAAGAACCCAGTAGCACGTCGTGTCTTTGACTCCCAATCTGCCCACCAGCGCTTTCGTCCTGCTTGGCACGTCAACAACTTGGAGCACACTTAACCAGACGTAGCCTCAAGACTCTGTAAAGTGATACGAAGAGAAACTACGATACTGAACGCTACCAGGAAATACGCCACAAAGGTTGTCAGTTCTCCACTTCTTTTTTCAGCCCAACTGGGTCCCCGCGCGGAGTGCCGTTGAGTGAGTCTTTCATGTGGGTATGGGTCAAATCTAAAGCATCAGGGGGACCACAGGTTCTAGTCCTGGGTTCCATTTACGAGGGAAACCAATTTGGGGAGCCTATTTGCAACCCGCGGCCATGTGAAGCACCTTGACCAAACCTTCCATTTGCTGAAGAGCAGGGTTGATTTTCCCTTGTTGGTCTTAAAGGGCATCGATTTCACTCCTGGATTTTGTTTTTCCCCCAGGCGAAACAGCAAATTGATTTTCCCTTGTTGGTCTTAATGGGCATGGATTCCACTGGACATTTTTTTTGCCAGGGCGAAAAAGCAAATGGATGTTGTCACTACCGGATAATTATATGTCTTTTTCACAGGGAGTTGGTCGAGTCAGATACCAGGCTTGAATCAGGTACCTGGGTCAGCTACCTCGGATCAGGTACCGTGTTTCGGTGGAATCGAGACCTGGCTGGCAGTCGTTTCACGAAAGGAAAGGCTCGGTGGTTTCAGGAGATGCCGGGTTGTTCCAGGAAAGCCCGGGTGGTTTCAGGAAAGGCTGTGGGTTGCATGAAAGACTGGGCGGTGTTTCAGGAAAGGTTTGGTGGTGTCAGGAAAGTCTGGGGTGGTTCCAGGAAAGGCTACGTGGGGAAGGCTGTGTGGTTGCAGGAAAGGCTGGGCGGTTTCAGGAAAGCTTGGATGGTTTGGGTGCTGGTTTCAGGAAAGACTGGGCGGTTTCAGGAAAGGCACGAAAAGTGTGTGATGGAGGGAGTTGGTCGGGTCAGGTCCTGGGAGGGTTTAGTCAGATACCTGGGTCGGCTACCACGGGTCAGGTACCTAGTGTTGGTGGCACCTTGACCTGGCTGGCAGTCGTTTCACTGTATGGTTTCAGGAAAGGCTGGGTGGTTTCAGGAGGTGCCGGGTTGTTTCAGGAAAGCCTGGGTGGTTTCAGGAAAGGCTATGTGTTTCATGAAAGACTGGGTGGTGGTTTCAGGAAAGGTGTGGTGGTGTCAGGAAAGTCTGGGGTGGCTCCAGGAAAGGCTGCGTGGTTTCCGGGAAGGCTGTGTAGTTGCAGGAAAGACTGGGTGCTGGTTTCAGGGGAGGCTGTGCGATTTCAGGAACGGCTGGGTGGTTTCAAGGAAAGGCTGGGTGGTTTCAGGAGGTGCCGTGTGGTTTCAGGAAAGACCGTGTGGTTTCCGGCGAGGCTGTGTGGTTTCACGAAAGAGGATGGTTTAGGGTTGCTTTAGGTGGGGTTTAGGGTTTGTTTAGGGCTCCCTCAGGGTTGATTTAGGTGTGGTTTTAGGTTTGGTTTTAGGATGTTTTAGGTTTGGTTTAAGGTTGGTTTAGATCAGATTTAGGGCCAGTTTAGGGTTGGTTAGGATTGGTTTTAGAGGTTGTTTTAGGGTTGGTTTAGGGTTGGTTTAGGGTTGGTTTAGGGTTGGTTTAGGATTGGTTTAGGGTTGTTTTAGGGTTGTTTTAGGGTTGGTTTAGGGTTGGTTTAGGGTTGGTTTAGGGTTGGTTTAGATTGGTTTAGGGTTGGTTGAGGGTCGGTTGAGGGTCGGTTTAGGGTTGGCTTAGGGTTGTTTAGGGTTGGTTTAGGGTTGGTTTAGGGTTGGTTTAGGGTCGGTTTAGGGTCGGTTTAGGGTTGGTTTCAGGAAAGGCTGCGTGGTTTCAGGAGGTGTCGTGTGGTTTCCGGCGAGGCTGTGGGGTTTCACGAAAGTGTGTGTCGCATATGATGTTGGAAGTCTGTTGGTTAAGGGTTGACTTAGGTGAGGTTTAGGATTTGTTTAAGGCTCCCTTAGGGTTGATTTAGGTGTGGTTTTAGGTTTGGTTTAGGTTTGGTTTAGGTTTGGTTTTAGGATGTTTTAGGTTTGGTTTAGGTGGTTTTAGAGGTTGTTTTAGGGTTGGTTTAGGGTTGGTTTAGGGTCGGTTTAGGGTCGGTTTAGGGTGGTTTTAGGGTTGGTTTAGGGTTGGTTTAGGGTTGGTTTAGGGTCGGTTTAGGGTCGGTTTAGGGTCGGTTTAGGGTCGGTTTAGGGTCGGTTTAGGGTTGGTTTAGGGTTGGTTTAGGGTTGGTTTAGGGTCGGTTTAGGGTTGGTTTAGGGTTGGTCTAGGGTCGGTTTAGGGTCGGTTTTGGGTTGGTTTAGGGTTGGTTTAGGGTTGGTTGAGGGTTGGTTGAGGGTTGGTTTAGGGTTTAGGGTTGGTTTAGGGTTGGTTTAGATTGGTTTAGGGTCGGTTGAGGGTCGGTTTAGGGTTGGATTAGGGTTGGTTTAGGGTTGGTTTAGGGTTGGTTTAGGGTTGGTTTAGGGTCGGTTTAGGGTCGGTTTAGGGTTGGTTTAGGGTTGGTTTGGGGTCGGTTTAGGGTTGGTTTAGAGGTCTGTGATTGCAGGAAAGGCTGGGGCGGTTCATGAAAGAGTGATTTGTGGTTTCAGGAAAGACTGGACGGTTTCAGGAAAGGCTGTGTGGTTTCAGGAGGTGCTGGGTGGTTTCAGAAAAGGCTGAGTGAGGCTGTGTGGTTTCACGGAAGTGTGTGTGAATTTAGGAAAGGAGGTGCCGGGTGGTTTCAGGAAAGACTAGGTGGTTTCAGGAGAGGCTGTGTGGCTTCAGGCTGGGTGGTTGTTTCAAGAAGTGGTTTCAGGAGAGGTTTGTTGGTGTCAGGAAAGTCTGGGGTGTTTCCAGGAAAAGCTGCGTGGTTTCAGGAAAGGCTGCGTGGTTTCAGGAAAGGCTGCGTGGTTTCAGGAGGTGTCGTGTGGTTTCGGGCGAGGCTGTGGGGATTCACGAAAGTGTGTGTCGCATAAAATGTTGGAAGTCTGATGGGTAATGAGTGATTTAGGTGAGGTTTAGGGTTTGTTTAAGGCTCCCTTAGGGTTGATTTAGGTGTGGTTTTAGGTTTGGTTTAGGTTTGGTTTTAGGATGTTTTAGGTTTGGTTTAGGTGGTTTTAGAGGTTGTTTTAGGGTTGGTTTAGGGTTGGTTTAGGGTCGGTTTAGGGTCGGTTTAGGGTTTTAGTTTAGGGTTGGTTTAGGTTGGTTTAGGGTTTTAGGGTTGGTTTAGGGTTGGTTTAGGGTCGGTTTAGGGTCGGTTTAGGGTTGGTTTAGGGTTGGTTTAGGGTTGGTTTAGGGTCGGTTTAGGGTCGGTTTAGGGTTGGTTTAGGGTTGGTTTAGGGTTGGTTTAGGGTTGGTTTAGGGTTGGTTTAGGGTCGGTTTAGGGCCGGTTTTACCGGTTTTAGGGTCGGTTTTGGGTTGGTTTAGGGTCGGTTTGCGGTTGGTTTAGAGGTCTGTGGCTGCAGGAAAGGCTGGGGAGGTTCATGAAAGAGGGATTTGTGGTTTCAGGAAGGACTGGACGGTTTCAGGAAAGGCTGTGTGGTTTCAGGAGGTGTTCAGAAAAGGCTGAGCGAGGCTGTGTGGTTTCACGGAAGTGTGTATGGATTCAGGAAAGGAGGTGCCGGGTGGCTTCAGGAAAGACTAGGTGGTTTCAGGAGAGGTTGTGTGGCTTCAGGCTGGGTGGTTGTTTCAGGAAGTGGTTTGGTGGTGTCAGGAAAGTCTGGGGTGCTTCCAGGAAAAGCTGCGTGGTTTCAGGAAAAGCTGTTGCGTGGTTTCCGGCGAGGCTGTGGGGATTCACGAAAGTGTGTGCCGCATATAATGTTGGAAGTCTGATGGGTAATGAGTGATTTAGGTGAGGTTTAGGGTTTGTTTAAGGCTCCCTTAGGGTTGATTTAGGTGTGGTTTTAGGTTTGGTTTAGGTTTGGTTTTAGGATGTTTTAGGTTTGGTTTAGGTTTGGTCTAGGGTTGGTTTAGGGTTTGTTTAGGGTCGGTTTAGGGTTGGTTTAGAGGTCTGTGTTTGCAGGAAAGTCTGGGGCGGCGGACGGTTTCAGGAAAGGCGGTGTGGTTTCAGGAGGTGCTGGGTGGTTTCAGAAAAGGCTGAGCGAGGCTGTGTGGTTTCCCGGAAGTGTGTATGAATTTAGGAAAGGAGGTGCCGGGTGGTTTCAGGAAAGACTAGGTGGTTTCAGCAGAGGCTGTGTGGCTTCAGGCTGGGTGGTTGTTTCAGGAAGTGGTTTCAGGAGAGGTTTGGTGGTGTCAGGAAAGTCTGGGGTGGTTCCAGGAAA